CTTGATATGTTGATTACACTATTCTTTTGATAAGCTAAAAGGGGAAACCGTTCTTGGTGTAAATGCTCACATTTATTAAGTTGTATAATGCTGGAGCCCCGGGGGAGCAACTCAGGCAGCCAGTAGTATCAACCATGTACAAAAAAAACACAGAAAGTGGGGGTATTTTATGTCCAGGCACAGACCTGCGCTGATCAGCGTTTAGGAGGGTTATTTCAACTATTTCCACCAAATCTTTTTATACTTGTGTTGCTTTCCAGGCTGGGCTTTACTGATGCATTACATGTAAATCCCCCCTCCCGTTGGTTTCAACCGTGTTTCAACATAATTTTTGTTCTCACTTCTGATCAGCCAAGCTTGGATGTGTTCTCTTCTGTGATTGGCTATCTCCATAAAAATTGAAAAACAGGCAAAGATTAGCATGATGTGCCTTTTGATTCCTATGCCACCCGATGCCATCCAACAAAATATTGTTATTATTATTTATTTCCTGAATGACACATTGATTTAAGAGTTAGGTTATTTTCAGCATATGATGAAAACAAGAGGCTAAAATTGCTGTCAAGTTGGACAAGATTTGAGAAAAAAAGCAGCTTAGTTTAGTTTTTGAGTCCCATCAGTAAATTAAACATTTACGACATTAAATTTAAAAAAAGCTTAAACTATGTTCTGTCTTCTTCTGAATGGGTGTTCTGAACTGTAATTTTATTGTGCTCTGTACAATGACAATAAAGGTATAATCTAATCTAATCTAATCTAAACTAGGTTCAATTTTCATCTAATTTTATATTTGGGTGTCTTATTTAGCTAACACCAAACCCATTTTGAAAAATTAATTCTCAAAGTTAGAAAATGAAGGGCAAACATTTTTAGCCATCTGGAGTCAATGGACACAATGCCGACATAATGGTGCGTCACATAACTGATCTTAGTTGCTGTAACTCCCTGTAACAAAAACACTCTCCAAGACTGTATTTGTGTCAAGGTAGAGACTTAATGCTATGCATCCGTTTTAAAATTGTGTT